AAAAAATATGAGAAGAGTAACCAGGCTTCAACTCTGACTCCAGCCAGCAATCAGGGATGAAGCTGGGTGTGATCAGAAGCTTTGTGGCACCTGTAAACACACCTGGAGCGCACCTGTACATCACTGCAGCAGGAGGACGAGTTAAACCACTGAGGTCAGCAATAACAAGACTCTAAGGGGGTGTTGAAAACAAACAAGTTTTATACAAACGGGGGCAGAAGCTGTTGTGTGTTTCAAAACCTTTTGGTCTCAGAGGCTCCTGTACAGAAACTGTCCCTGTGAGAGCAACACAACACACCTGAGCCGTTCAGGCAACACAACGGGTTCCTGGCAGCTTAGCCAGGATTCCTGTTAATGAGACAGGAAGTGAAAGGAAAAGAGAAACTAAAGGAGGAAGTGAGATGAGACCTCTGTTCTATTCCAGCGTGTGTGTGTGTGCGTGTGTGTGCGTGTGCGTGTGCGTGTGTGTGTGTGGACTCACCGTGGCTGACTGAATGCAGTTTGACTGTTTTGCAGATCTTCTCTTCGTAGCTGGGCGTGCAGGACTTGCGGCTGACTTTTCTTGTCAGACCCACAGAAGGGAACATAAACATGACTTCAATTGTTTTTTTCAAACACTTTAACCTATCTACCTAGGAACTACTGAGGATTATTACATATTGATGGTAGGGACTTGAGTCAGTACTGAGGCTACATCCACATCATCAATTTGGTGTTTTACGATTCTTAAAACCATGACTTTTTATTGTACAACTCGTTTACTCTCTGTGATCCATGCTACTTCTGGAGTTCTTTCGCACCGTTGAAACAGAAACTAATGTCCACACCTACGACGCATCTCTTGGACGAGTGTTTTAGCTCCGTATCAGAAACGATTTCTCCCTCCATACAACCACCTGAAAACACGCAATGACCATTCACAGTTATCTAGCTGGTGCATCTGTGATGCTGCTAGCCTGGTGTAAATCAGGAACAGCAGTCTTATTCTATCAGTTGGATTATATTGCAGAAATACTCTTGACATGCAGCGAACATAAAGACAGTAGCTTGCTAGTGTTAAAATGCAGAATTAAAACTGAACAACAGCTGTCTAGCAAAGGAAACTCACTGGTCAACGTAAACACTGCAATCACCACTGACGTCGTCCAGGACTTGTGTGAGACTTCAGACTTCAGACGACTTTTATTTAAATCAAGAAAGGCAATCCTTTGCAGTTTTAACCAAGTCCATTCATACCAACCCAAACTCACAGGCAAAGTAGTCAAATGCCAGAGGCAACAGATCAAACATACGTTGGTTCAATACAAGAACAACAAGCAGCTAATAAGTAAAGGACTGATTAAAAATATAAAACAAATTAAACAAATTAAAAAAACATTATCTTATCACCGTCCTATCATGAATAAATAATATGCCATGAATGTAGTGAATTCTAAGTTTAAATTGCATCATTTAAAACATTGACAAGCGCTTCTCGTTTAGTAGGACCTGATAGCAGAAGGACAATGCAAGAAACTTGGAGTCGGCGGTTTACTTCACATCTGTACGCCAGGCAGTTGACACTGAATACAATGACAGAAACATGGCTCCTATATTTCCTTTTGTCTTCATCCGGGCACACCATTGTTCTCTCAAGGTGACAGATCAGCCGTCCGAACCAAAGGAGGACGACACGTGGATGTTGTACGTCAATTGTTTCCAAATGGTCTCAGTTTTCTGCTCCATCAGATACAAGATAAGTCCAGCATGATTTTATCTAACTAAAACACAAGTCCCTGGCCGAACGTCTGTATCCGAAAGTTTTAAGTCGCACTAAAACTCTGGAGCCCGTGTTGTACCTGCCGGGAGATGATAACGTAGCGTAGGAGTATTAAAATACTAAAACCCCTGTCCACGCTCGTGAGACGTATGCCGAGCTTTCAGTAACCACTGCTGACGTTTGACTATGCTCCATGGAACAGTTCCACATGTGCTGGTAGAAGTGTATTAGGTGGTTCGAGAGATTCATATGTGTGATGCACACATAAAACAACCAACTAACTGAGGTCCCACCATGTAACTCGAGTGTGTGTGTGTGGTGTGAGGTAAAACAATACAAAACAACCATACGCGTCATCCACAGGTGGACACACAGCTATAATGACTTCCAGAGCACACGAACACGCAAGCACACACACACACATCACCACACACCACACACACAACACCCCACCACACACACATCACACACACACACGCCACACTTCTCTGGACTTAGCTGGGCTAATCTATCCCCGTCACTTATCTCTGTTCTTGTGATGTGCTAACTGTCCTCCGCTGTCTACACCCGTGTGCTGCTAGTCTGCGTTCCGCTGTAAGAGGATTGATGAGGTCGACAGACTGACAATCCCCATTGAGAATGAAGCCGTGCTGTGTGTGTGTGTTATGGAGTGTCAGACGTAGTATCACAATACTCTGAAAATACCAATTTAGACACAGTCATCTGGAACCAGCATACTGAAAGAATGCACTGTGGCCACTTTCTAGGCTTACTCTCACAACACACAGCACCGCGCACACACTACACACACACCACAACCACACACCACGCCAGCACACAACCACACACAAGGCTATGGTTAGTCGGTTAGGTCCAATAATTTAATTCAGCTCTATAAATAATCACAACTGTCGCACCATCTCTGGAACGAACTAATCCCTCCTGAGTCGGATCAAGGCGAAGGGCGACCTGAGACAGAGAGGTCCGGGTTTCTGTGCATCATCTACACCGGCTGGTGATCACTCTAACGTGAATGCGGAAGTGTTTTCACTTTGTAAAGACATACTATGATTACAAGCACGATATGGGACACGATGTGTCTTGTCATAGTAATGAAGGTTCGAACACATAGCTCCGTTGGACTTCATCTCGCTGTAGCTTTGTTCATTTCAATAAAAAAGATTAGCCAATTCATACACAGATGGACCAGAACGATTCCTGAGTGTTTTAAAACAGAGAGTTGAGACAGAAGGAGCACAGCACACAAAGGCAGAGAACAAGCCCTCCCAACATAGTTTACACAACCACAAGGAGATCTTCTTCACTTATTTCCCTGGTCTGATCCCGGAGAAAACACATAAAGCTCTATGTTATAAATTCATGAGGTTGTTACAAAATAGTATAATTAACAGAACAGATGGCAGCATCGGCGTTGCTTGGACCGGAAGAGGAATTAACTGCTGTGAACAGCCAGCTGCTCGCTTGCACACAACACGTCTGTAGTACTAGAATTTATCCATCCAAAATAAAATAAAACAGTCCAGGCCAACAGCTCGTCTTTCTAGTTTTATTCTGCATAACAACACTATGTTGAACAGGCTCTAGTAGCTGGTGTCGGCCTGTAGACCCAGGGAGGAGAATACCTCGGTCCAGTCGGGTAAACTGATGTCGAGGATTGTAACTGTTCTAACTGATAGGATTAATCAGTCAGCAATTCCTGATTATCACTTAACTGTTAACTTATGAACAAGCCTAGGAATGATCCAATATATTAGGAGGCTGATTCACAGTAGGATTAAAAGTTCAGGCTCTTTGGTTTCTGACGATGAGTAAGATTTAGACCATTACTTTTGTGAATCGTGACTTTGTGTGAGTTCTCTTTACCTGGAGACGTGTCCACATTACCTTTGAGATGGAATGACACATCACGGGTTCATGAAAGAACCACCTTGATGAATTCCTTAAAGATTACAAGTGCCACCAGCTGACGTTTATTCTGTCAAATCATCAGCAACTTGCAGAGAAAACACAAAAGTATTTAAAGTTGTTTTTTGTTATCTAATAAAAGAACAACCATTTGAAAATACATTTCCTAATTATTAGGCTTACTCAATCAATACGATTGTGTTTCAGGTTATCTAAGGTGATGAATTTTTGCCTGAATTTCCAAACTGGCTGCTCGCCCTCAGTAACTGTCGATGTGGAGCTAAAATTAGACAAGATGTTAAATGCACAGAACTAATGGGCACACAGACACCTTCTCATCACCACAGTATTGTAGGTACTAGAGATGTGGTGTGAAAAGCAAACAGTCTGTCTGAAACTGGAGAAAGAGACCTGAGAGGAGCCTAGTACCTACTCTACAAGCCATACCATGACTGCATATCACTGCACCTGCTGAGCAGCTAAACAGACCTTATATGTACTATTTGATCAATTTTAAACTGACAAGGATACAGTATAGTTACATGCAACCAAGCTATGTCAGGCTCAATGTAAAGTTGAGCATTATGCAGATTGTTTTGCGTAAAGTCTCTTATGCTGACAGTAATGAGGGATAGATAAACAAGTCCTGAAGTGATGAATCAGCATGTCCACTTTCCTGTCATGCCTCAGCTACTGTAGTACTGCCAGACAGAGAATGCAGTAAGAAGAGTGGACTAGTCTGACTTCATCACTTCAGGCCTTGTTTATTATCGCTATACTGTCAGCATAGAGACTTAGCAAACATCTGATTTAATGTCAGCACTTTACATTGAGCTGACATACTTGTTTCATGTACTATACTGTACCTCTGTCCAGTTTAAATTGATCAAATAGTAACATATTATACGTCTGTTGTATGCTGCTCAGCAGGTTGAGTATATTCTAGTATGATACTGTTATGTGCTGAGTTAGTCTCTTAGGCTCCTTCAGTTCTCTTTTCTCCTGTTTCAGACAGACTGTTTGCTTTTCACACCAACATCCTCTAGTCACCACACAATACTGTGTGTGAAGGTGTCTGTGTGCCATTAGTTCGCTGTCTTCTACATTTGTCTAATTTTTAAGCTCCACATCTCGACAGTTACTGAAGGCAGCAGCCAGTGAAAATTCCAGCAAAATGTCATCACTTAGAGACCTGAACACAAGAATGATGAGTAACCTATAATTAGGAAAGTATTTTCAAATGGTGTCTTCATTTTATTAGATAAACAAAAACAACTAAATACTTTTGTTGTTTTCTGTGCATTCTGATTATTTACTCAGAATAAAGTTCAGCTGGTGACATTTATTTTAAGGCGAATTCATCTCAAGGTGTATCCCTACATGAACACCTAGTGTGTCATTCATCTCAAAATGGATGTGACACGTCTCAGTATAAAGAGAACCACAGAGTCACATTCATTAAATAAATGGTCTAAATCTATCTCTCAGAAAACCAAGAGAGCCTGACTTTTAATCCCTACTGTGAATCAAGCTCCTAAATATATTGGATCATTCCTAGGCTTGTTCATAATTAACAGTTAAGTGATAATCAGAATTCTGACTGATTAATCCTATCAGTTAAAGCGTTACATATCCTCGCGGACATCAGTACCACCTGACCAGGTTCATTCCCTCCCTGGTCTTGACAGGCGACACCAGACTACAGCCTGTCAACATGTTGTTATTGCAGAATAAAAACTAGAAGACGAGCTGTTGGCCTGGACTGTTTTATTTTATTTTGGAGTTAAATTCATATTAAACTAGTCTCGACAGCGTGTTGTGTGAGCAGCAGCC